GCGGGCGGAAATGGCCGGGCCTAGCGCGGGAATGCTCGGGCCGCGGGCGGGAACTGCCGGGCGGCCGTTTTGGCACACGTAAAATGGTGGTTTGACGCAGGGGTTACGCAAATTGGGAATTGTTCAAATTATTTGCTACATGTGGAAGGTCGTGTGCACTGGGCACGCAAGGGATACACGCTGCATGTGCACGGCGGGGTCGGGTGTCAGGCCAGCAGGCCAGCTGCAAGAGGCACATGTACAACATAATATGAACAAAATATGTTTTACATGTGCATATGCAAAAAATAATTTGAACAAATTGTGTTGTACACTTGCACATGTAAAACATAATTTGTTCAAATTATTTTTTACATGTCTGGACCATTGCCAGGGTACATGTGTACGCTATATATATACAGACACACTATATACGTGGTCGAGGCGGCGTGGGCGGGAACGGCCGGGAGGCTGGCGGGAGACACGCATTGACGTGGTATATATGTATACATGTATATATATATACATACACATATATCTACATATATTGTCCTACATACATATATACACATATAATGGATATTTATAAATATATATACACACACATATATAGATGTATATCTATAGTATGTGTGCAATGCATTGACGGCATGGGGTTGCCTCATATTATATTTGTAAAGAATATTATGAACAATGGCCCTGGACCATCTTATGTGTTTCGCTACCTACTGGCCGGGCAGGTTTGTAGAAAACAATTTGAACAATTCCCTGGCATCACTCCGGGGACACAGTTGTAGAAAATAATTTGAACAATTCCCGTGCATCGCTCCGCAACACATTTGCAGAAAAGGGGTTTGAACAAATCCCATTTGTAGAAAATAATTTGAACAATTCCCTTTCATCGTCAGATACATCAACTAATATATATATATATATACACATATATACATATATATATATATATATATTGACATCACAAATATAATCTTATATACATATATGTATATACATATGTATGAATATATCAAATCTTAGCTCATTGTGAAACAGTGAGAGGTTCTACGTGTTTATGTATATATATATATATACATACGTATATATGTATATATGTATATATATATAGATACGTACATATAGATCGATAGTCCTGGTGAACCAAAGTCTATGTATATATATTTATATATATAGATTGTGTGTATATATATATATATTTGTGGATTATACGATCTAGATCTGTTTTAATACTTGATCATTTATATGCATCTATATGTATATATATATATGCGCAATATATAGATATGTTTCTACATATACATGTATAAGCACGTATACACGTGTGTACATATTTATGCACAGAAAAGGTATGTACATACGTGTATGATCATTACTCTATAAAATTATGTGTATAAATATATATATATATATATATATATATATATATATATATCCATGAAAAAGCATACATCGGAATTTTTATACGTATATATGCATATATATATATATATAGATATACATGTACGTGTATATACACATATTTATATGCTTATATACAAACAGATTTATGTATATACACACCTGGTAAGTACATATATATATATATATGTCTGTGTGTATACCTCTACGAGTACATATCTATATGCAATTGTGTATATTCATATATGTATATATTGATATATATATATATATATTAATATATATATTAATATATATTAATATATATTAATATATATATATATATATATATATATAAGTATGTATACATGTATATACATAGATCGATACATATGCACATGTCTGTACCTCATGTGTCTATATATACACATACATAGAGGTCTCGGTATATGTATAAATGTAGATGTATTTGCAAATGTACATATATACGTGATACACACACAGACATATATATATATATATATACTCGAGCTAACATGGATCCTGATTATGCATGCATGGGCAGGTTGCGCATGCTAGGGGCTTTTGCAGCCAGTCTTGCATATGCAATTAGCTTCCCAGCACGAAGCTCCTCAGCTCTGCCGGGACATGGATCTGCTTCCAGGCTCGCTGCGCCAGCCTGAGAAATGAGTATCACCGCGGATGTTTCAAGTTCGATCTTCGACTTCGGCTTCGTAGTTATTGGTGCTGATGCTGTGTTGTGTGAGTCTCCGGGCCCAATTAAGAAGCAGGCCACCATACCGATGCATAAGGATGCTACGTTCCTACATGTCTATACATGTGTGTATGCATAGTTACATAAGCATGTGTGTCTGTGTCAGGTAAGGTTGTCCTACCCACAATGATTGGGAACCGGCTTGCTCGAGGGTTTGCTTGGTCCTAGCCATGATGCTGGCGAGAGAAAGATCGAGGGGTTGAGAGATGCATGCATGTACATATATATATATACACATCTATGTGCACATGGGTGTACATTTTTTTATATATGTATATGTACATATGTAAGAAAGCCTCTGTCTGTGTACATTTACAAAAGGTAGAGCCTTAACACAGAAAGTCTGCTTAGATTTTTTACATATATATGTCCTTGGCTGTGAGGCCGTGTGCAGAAGACCCATATATATATATATATATATATATGTATGTATGTAACCGGAACCTATTTAGAGGTATGCAGCTCTGTTCAACCTTATATATACATACACCTCATATATATATATATACACATATATATACACACACTCATGTATATATACAAATAGAGAGACAGGAGAACACACACACACACATATATATATATATATATGCATACATGCATGTACAGGCATTCATATACCTATGGACCTCTAAAATTGCTTATAACTCTCACATATATATGTATAGTGTATATACATGTGTACATGTGCACAGTTTATATGTGTCTATATATACATTAACGATCTGTTCCCATGCAGAACTGCACATGTTAAGGGAGGCATGGCTGCATGATTTCAAGTTCGTTCTACTCAAGAAAGTAAGGGTGTCTTTGCATGGCCAATGAATCTGGTCTTCGATGTTGCAAGCAGGTAAGAACAACATGCAGCTTTGTGTCGAATGCCCTAGTAAAGAACGTTTAATGGCCCTTGAAGCCGGCTCGAGTGTGCTGTAGCTGCCCTGGTGTCCTGCCAGGATCCCTGCTTGTTTGGCAGGAGAACGACAATGCATCGCGAGATGCCGTCCAAGCTTTATAGCACGGACAGCATCGATGATGGAAATGATGTTGTTCGAGAAGCTCCATGGAGGAAACTTAACAGTGCTGACAAGGCTACCTTGCTCAGCGAGCTTCGGAGGTTGGAGGAGCGGTTGTTGTTCTGTTGCGAATCCTGCCTATATAACACTGCAACCGACTAGGCAGATCTGTCTACACATATATATGTTTCAATCGTCAATCTCGACAACAAAGTACATCTAGTCGCGAATCTAGTCCATGTCTTCGCATCCACATATCTAGATGTATTGCACTACTTGAGGACCTGAAGAAGAAGATGGCGGCAAAGGCCCGACTAGCGCAGCCTGTTTCCCCAAGGGACTCCCAGAACGCCCTGGCCTCGCCTTCCAGCCCTGCCTCCACTCACACCGAAGGCTCGACCCTTTCCACTGCGCACAAGCCCCAATCAAAGGATCAGGTGCCTCCCGCAGCATACGTGCCGACCCCCGTGCGTCCCACGGCGCGTCCCACGGCCAAAAGATCCTCGAATGGTGAGCCCCTTCAGGTGCTATTCGGGTACTCAAAATTACCGTTGCAGGTCTGCTTCTCTAGAACCTACCAGGTAGCCATACATGTGTATGTATACACCTCTATGTGTGTATCTATATATGCATGTATATATACATATACGAATGTAGAGGATAACGTGTTTGTGGGTATGTAGCCTATATATATATATGTCGACATATATATATAGGTGTTTCTGTATCTGTCCATGTATGAACTTGTACCTATGCATGAACTAAGAGACCTCTTGATTGAGCTTTTCCAGCACTAGACCTCTCTCTATCTAAATATATATGTAGATAGTTGTTTATATCACATATAGGGTTATAATATAAGACAATAGACATATACATACATACATACATACATACATATATATATATGTGTGTGTATGTATATGATATGTTTCTGAAACCTTCTATGATGACAACTGGAGATATACATATAGCTGCTACATACACAGACATGTTGGCATGGACGTGTCTATGCATATGCCTGTTTTAACATGTATGCATGTATGTATAGAGACAGAGAGACATCGTATGTATGTACGCATACAGGTACAAATGTGCGTGCATGTATATACACAGACACACCTTTCCTGCACATGTGTATCTGCACGTCTGCATGCATGGACAAATATGTAACTGTACATGTATACACACAGATATGTATGTGTGTGTGCATTTATTGATATTATGTGCAAAAGAGAGGAGATAGAAAGGGAGAGAGGTGTATATGCTTCTTTGGACAGGTTCGGCGACTCAGCACCGCTTCCACGGTGCCAGGGCATTTCGACACTCCAGTGAAGGAGATGGAGACAAACGATGATGATGTGGCCAGCCCGGTGAAGACAAGAAGGAGTGATGAGAAGCCATCCCCGCAGAAGGTGAAGCCGACAAGGAGTGATGAGAAGCCATCCCAGCAGAAGGTGGTCACTTCAGTGAAGCCGACAACGAGTGAGGAGAAGCCATCCCAGCAGAAGGTGGTCACCCCAGTGAAGGCGACAACGAGTGACGAGAAGCCATCCCAGCAGAAGGTGGTCACCCCGGTGAAGTCGACAGGGACTGGTGACAAGCCATCCGAGGTGGGCAGCCCTACAACAGCTGCAGAGTCAAGCCCCGAGTCTTCGAAGCAGGTGCATCGGTCTGAAATCACCGAACATGTGGCTTCATAGTATGTGCATGGGTGTGCTGTACTTGAGTCCTGCAAGCCTCTGCATGTGCGAAGCTAGACGTGTATTTCAGATTTGTGTAGTGCTGCTTCTTGGAGTGGGTCGCAGGTGAAGCAGGAGCCGTCGGATGACGTTGCAGACATGGTGGCTGACGCCATGCAGATTCTGCAAGAGGAGGTCAAGCTGAGCTCCGTCAAGAAGCGCATGGCCCGTATGTTCGCTCCTCGTGTTGATGGAAGCTACTTGGTTCCGAAGGAGCTGGTGGACCAGTACAAGGACTTGAGTCAACGCCCCGCTTTGGAAGCCGAGTTCCTCAAGTCCGGGCTTGACAAGGACGGATGGGCAAGCGGGGACACTTGCCTGGGGATTTTTGGTGAGACCTGCCAGGACCTCTTCGTCAGGCGCTCCGTGAAAAAAATCAAGCGCCGCGAGTCCGAGTCGGAGGTTTGGGTTTCCGGGCAGTTTGTGTCCGATTTGGACATGGACGAGCTTGGCCTCACAGAGAAGCGGAAGAAGGCTGTGCACGACGAGTGCGCAAAGATGCGCGGGTGGATCAGGCGGGCAAACATGTATACATCTAGAAGAGGTTGTTGACAGAGAGGAAGAAAGAGACAGAGAGAGAACGAGAGAGCCGGGGAGACGTGCCACATATATATGTGTGTATATATATGTACAGATCCAAAGACATACACACATACATGGGTATATATATATATGTGTGTGTTTACATGTGCACATATACACACACATGTTTCTAGGATCTGTGCACTCCATAGCATGCATGTGCTTCTATGTGGGATGTGTCTTCAGTCTGTCTGTGTTATGTCACGTAGTATTACAAATCTACTTGTACGCATTTCTGGCAAAACATGTTTATATATGTGTATATGTATTATGCATTTTAACTTAAGTTCAACTATGTATATATATATATGTATGTACGTGCAGATGTGTGCAATCCTTTAGTTTATGTATACTATTTACATGGGTGTTGTCTAGAATCCAAACATGCACGTCTCTACATGTTCCATGCATCTGCTCTATAAAACAACAATATGTACATGTACATACGAGAACATGGTACACAACCACGTGTCGCTCTGTGTGTACATCTGAAGTGAATTTTACACACATGTCCCATGCGTGTCGTGTTTTTTCGATGCTTGCTTTAACTGTGCCTGGGCCAGGCGGGACAGGTACGAGCCGGACGTGAAGCTTTACTGGCTTGAAAAGTCAGTGGAAGCCAAGGTGCTGATTCTTGACTGATTGACTGATTCATTAAACTGGATGATGTACACATCCTCGCTCTCCCTCTCTTGGAAGCTGGTTCTAGATAGATAGATAAATGTGTTCGTTCAAGAGTAGATTCCTGGACATGTCTCCTGCATACTAAAGTAGTGGTGTATAGATGAGGAAGCGCAAGCGGGAGATCTATGAGGAAGTGGACAGCGATGCGGAGTTCGAGGAGAGTGACAACGAAAAGGACTTGGACGTCTTCAGCCACTCATGGGGCCTCGGTGATGGAGGACCCAAAGGCCCCGGATGCACCCCTGGGAAATCGCTGCCACACGTGTGTAGAGGTCGTGCAATATGCAGTGCCATCCTAAATGCATGCATACATACCAGATATCGTATGTGTGTGTGTGTGTGCGTCTGTGTTCAGGCGACGACAAAAATGTCGCCGGGGCGGACCGGGAATCCGACGTCAAGCAGAGGATTAAATCCATTAGTTTTCCGGATATGGATGCGGACGGGCTGCCCTCCTCCTACATCGTGAAGGTTGTGCAATGCTTGGGGAAATGGAATGCTAAGATCCAGGGTGTTAAGGACCAACTGGAACAGTTCAAGAAAAGCGAGAAGACAGACAAGAGACTGGATTTCATTTAGAATAGGCAGCAGCTAGGAGATGGGATGTTGAGAACTCCTGTGTTTTTATGTGCATTAATTGGTGTGTTCCATGGAATGTACCTGTGTATAAGGATCCTGACCAAAGCGAGCACCATCCTCAAGGGCCTGGATGAGACTTCCGAAAAGATCCAGCACAAGCAGTCGGAAAGTGTGCTTCAGGATGTAGGCTTCAGCCTGGAGCCCCTCGACTTTCGAAACAATAGGTTGTGATAGAGCTTGTATGCTTGTATAGTATATGTACCCACTTCAGGGGCATGCATGGGAAGATATAGCAGTGGGAAGGCGCATGTGCATTTGTGTACATGCACTGCATACAGTGGAAGTGTATATATACATATATATATATATATGGTGATACATCATGTATGCAAGTATATGTGTATATGGATATATATTGTATATACAGACGCATATCTACATATTCTGGTTGTGAGGGCTTCATATATCTCAGCTTGGACAAGTACCTCGTTGTGGTTTGCATAACATACATGCCTATATATGGCTAGACATGTGTCCTGATACACATATATGTACATGCACATGTATACTCTAGTGACCTTGCCTTTCGTATCATGTGTCAGTAGACTACTCTATATATATATATGTCCACATACAACGGTCGAATGGACTTCTATGTACTCTCGCTTTAATTGGGGTACTGATGGCCCGGCTGCTGGAAGTGTCAAGTTAGCTTTTCAAAGCTTACCATGCACTGTAGCCAATTATTAGATGTAGACCCTCTATACTGTAACCCGGTTTACTCAGGTCTCTATCGAGGGGTCCTGTAGGGGTTCCATAATGGATGCACAACGTATTTAAGGCGCTAGCTAGTTGTCTGCCTAAGTTGTCACAGTGCCGGCAAACATTGTCCTGGTATTTGCAGGCAGTCCTTCCGTGTCATGAGGCTAGGCCTCGATCACTTGAAACTCCAAAGTCAGAGTCTGCAAAGCTCAAAACCAAGTGACAACCCAAAGTCACCTTATAAAGCCTCTTTGACATCCGACCCACTAAGATCCCCCAGTAACAACGCCCGCACCCTATATAGCAATCCTGTATAAACCCTACATAATTCGTAATTTTCTCACACCAACAATAAACTCAATATCAGCTGTATGAACCTGGACCCAAGTGGCTGGATCGAGAGAGATAGAGTCCTGGCAAACCATTGTATACGCAGTTATCTTCGTAAAAGTCTAGAATATAAAATGTAAAGCATATCGTGCCCGTAGCTGCCACAGGAACCCTTTTTTTGCATAATTCTATCCAGAGCGTCCTGTGCAAGCTAAATAAACAGGTAGCCTTATAATAGTCAACCACGTGTTCAGCATCCTGGGTGACAGGACTTTTTGTAGGAACCCCATATCGGCTGATATCGAACGAAGACCAGAACAATGTATACAAGTTGACCCACTAATTGTGCTGCATCCAGCTTGTATGCACTGTCAACTCCGATCGAAGTCCTATATAAATACATATATATATATATACATATCTCGAATCCAAATCCAACTTAGCTGAATCCCTCCAGGCGCCCGCATAATGCAGAGGAAGACCCCTGACGCATCCCAGGCAGCAGGGCGAGATCAAGAAGTTGTTCGACGTGGCCAAGAAGCAGCAGCCTGACAGCAGTGGACCAATTTGAAAGGTATTTCGGGCTTGAAAATGAGGGCTTCGATCAGGATTAGAGTTTATAGGCTGCAGTTTGGGGGGTGATCGCGCAGTCAGATGTTACTGGGTCCACCGTGCATCATATTCCAGGATCTTTCTAGAGTTGTATAAACAAATTAACACCTTCGCCGGGATGGTGACTCTTGCGTGTAGCATCCATCTATAAGCTCAGGAGGGCACTGCAACTAGGATCTCAGCTACTTGGCTATCATTCAATCGGACTATGTGGAATTAGAGGCCTTGCGTCTGTATATGCGGCTCCATAGGATGAATCGCGGCTCCAAATGCAGTGTTTCATGGCTTTGCAAGCAGATAGTGCTGGGTCCCTGTATATGCAAAGCCTAGCTGTGCATATATACAGAATATATACGACGTGCAAGTGTAATTCTCGGCTACCCCAGCTCTTCTGCAGGAGGCTGTACCTACGATTGTCGACACTACTTTCAATAGCCAAGCTGTGGTTTCCAGGTCTAGCTGTTTAATGTTGCTAAATATGTACAGTGTACATCTATACATTTACGTATACGTGTCGTCGTCTCTGTGTCTACACAGGTTGCAAACTGATGTTGGCAACTATGTAGCACAATTGCAACCTATTCTGTGGGTCTCGTTAATTCAGGCCTAGTCACCCATCGATCCAGCCATGGATGACAGAGGCTGCTAAGTCGCTCCTGTTGGTGTGCGGCCACGTATCTTAAATCCGACATGACGAAGCGCTTGCGAAGCTTGGCTTCTGTATTGTGGGATGATGAGGAGGATACCGCTTCACTCCTACTGGGTTGGAAAACCCAGCAACCTGTGTGTGACTGCCTGGACTCCGAAGCTGCATCTGCAGAAAGCCAGTCAGGAGATTGCATACAGCGTCCTCATGTAGAGCCAGTGCATGAGCTGCCGCTGGTAGTGCATAAGCCTGGGCTGACGAGGCTTATACGAACAAAGGATCCCTGGCAATGGGTACAACAGCTATCCGAAGAAGAGAAATCCCTATCCCGACTTCGCGATGAGATCATTCCTCAGTTAGAGCAAACAAACTTTGTACAGGGAGCCATCATGTTCGACTTGCCCAAATCCAGATTGGCCTCCAGCATACTAACGCATGCTGAGATTTGCATCAGGAGCATCTCTTCGAGGAACCCGGCTTTATACAAGGTTGGGGTGACAAGAGACCCCGTGGCTAGATGGCTGCACACTGCTTATGGGTATAAGCACGACAAGCAGGTGCCCTGGGAGAGGATGACCATATTGCATGTGCATTCTAATGCTGATGTGATCTGTCTCCTGGAGGCAGCTCTGATTCGGATATTCTTTAATGCTCCAGGCTTCCGCAATATCCGTTTGGGTGGGGAAGGTATGGACATGCAGAGTGCTGGCCCTTTCTTTTGTTATGTCGTGCAGCATGCGCTGCATACCGGACAGAGGAGTCGACCCCGCGGCAATTAATTAGCATATGCATCATACTCCCACCTGTCATGTTGTCTGTACAGATGCTTTTCACAGCTTGGCAGATTGCTGGAAGGCTAATTAATTAGCTGCGAACATGTGGGCCACCATCTAGCTTCCCGAAAAGCCTTGACTGAGTGCCTGTGCTCGGTGCCAACATGAGTGCCCTATTTAGTTGCATTGAAAGCGAAGAAAGCCTCTTCTAGTGAGAAAATGCCTGCACCAAGCCCTCTCAAGACCTCTAGAATCTTTTACAACCCTGAAATGGGTCCCTGTACAACAAACGAGTTACATACATACCGTAGCAGCTTAGCAAGAAAACCACTTCAAGAAGCTCGGTAGAGTCACTGACTACTCTGCATCACATATCTACGATCGAGGATGGGCATATAGAGATTGAATCTTTTTTTTGTCAGTCGTTTCTAGAGCTGTTTGATGAACTTTAGAAGGAGCTTTTTCAGGAACTCAAAATAACCCAACCAAACCCTCCAAAACAACTCTGAACCTGAGTCTGACAAGGGACGTATAAGCAGTGCATGGAGAAAGCAGCACAAGGGATTGAATGGGTTTTAGATTTCAGGGTTTTTGATGTTGTTAGGGCTTCGCGCTTTGCAGGTTTGGGGTTTATGTATGTATATATATATATATATATATATATATAGCCTTACATATATATAGGGCTTTATAAACTAAGGTCTATAGAGTTTGTGTGTGTATATATATGTATATAGAGGGCTCAGGATCAACTTAAGGGATATAGCACGATGTTTAGTAATTATGTCGTACGTGTATATATCTGTACATATATATATATATAGAGAGAGAGAGAGCGACCCATCGAGGCTTTGTTGATGTTTCTCAGTGTGATAGATTTAAGATCCTATGTACTATCTAATTATCCAGCTACCTGTATGCATACATATATTAGCATACAGACTAGAACAGAATGCAAGGAAACACAGGCCTGAAACTACCCCGTCGTTGTGTGCTCGTATATGTGTACTTGTACATATTCTGCAGGTGACGCTATATTACATCCGCAATTAGCTAAAAAAGCTTTGTAGATGGGGAGCCCATGCATGGAATATCTACACATAACTAACCCAATCCCGCCTATACACTCCATCCACATGTCAGGAACTCTACAAAAGCCCGTTCCATAGCAGGTCGTGTATACGCCTTCAGTCACACATACTAGTCTACGAAGAAAGATCGACGATAGGACCTTAATTAGTTTCCTGCTGGATCCCAGGTTAATGAAAATCCGAATATAACACCTGATAGACGTCTCTTCTGAACCCCCAGAGAACACCCAGCTCAGGTGCGTGGAAGCCCTCAGCTTCAGCACGGGGTGTGGGCCGATGATCGTGTATCTTCGGTCGCAGAAGAAGAAAGACGATGCGGACACCTCAAAGCGAGTGAAGGTCGAGTGAGCTGGCTTGAGCCAGGTTCGGGGAATGGTGCGGGCAAGGACAGTCTGCAGTTATATGTAGAGCTCAATTCAGGTTTCTGCGTGTTGGGTAATTATCTAAGTGGGCTGTATATGTGTCTTTCCGAAAGATGCTGTGTACATACACATGGAACTTTCTAGATCCATGCATTAAGGTCCTGTCCTGCTTTTCCTGCGCAAGCTCCCCGTAGGTCCCCTAGATGATGGTAACCATCACGCTAGAAGATTTTAATCAACTCCGATGAAACAGGCTGACTGGCTTGTGCGGCACCCCGTGTGAGATGCACGGCTGCGTGCCCAAATTTGTCAAGAAGACTTACTAATTCATGTGTGGGCCACCGGCCTCTCTGTGAAAGGATGCTCTCTATACTGCTTCGGTGCCCGGAAACAGGAAAAGAGTACAGAGTACAGCCCTCTGTTGCAAACATTACAAATTACAATGCATACACTATACTATCTAGTATTTCCAGTGCAAGCTCCATCGGTTTTGTTGTGGAGGTACGAGCTCGAAGCCTCCTCAGATCACGCCTATACTGGAGAACCTCTTGGAGAATGTGGCTGATGGAGCAACTTGCTGCGCAGGATATGTGCTGCCATGTCCCATCTTCATTGTGCATGTGCATACAAACCAACTGAGTACAATACAGAGTTTCTTATACGGTGCTTTGTGTCGCTCCGAAATCTTGAAATCTGCACATTCAACCTTTTATAACCGTTCTTGATGTTTGATCGTGATAGTGAAAAAAACCATGGATCCCTGCTAGGGCTCTAGACACCATCATATTCTTACATGGTGACGCTGTGCATGTATAGACGTCCACATACACATAATATATATATATATATACACAAACACATATATGTATATGCACATATATATATATATACATATGGATATATATTTATATGTATATATGTCTATATGTGTGTCTATACGTGGGTGTGCATGAACTTCCATACACGTGTACACTGACACATGTGTTTATATATATATATATATATATATATATATATATATATATATATATATATGTATATATGCTTGTATATATATATATATATATGTATATGTATACATGTGTTTCACGTATGTATGCTGGCAATTGTGTCTATGTATATAGATACATGCCTGTCAAAGCTCATGCACATGGTTATGCACATATCGATCGATCTGCTCAAAGCCAAGGCGCCTGCTAGCTCGGTGACGGGTCATCAGAGGGCGATGGTCCTTCAAAAAGGTGTGGAGGCCACACGCGAAGACTTGGGTATTGATGTAGGGTTGTCCGATCAGAACTCTGCAAGACATGTGGAAAAGATTGTTGGAAAGTTTGGTCTTCGACCTACTATCCCATTGTCACATCATACTTTGGTGCTTGGTCCTGAATGCTTCACTCTACCTTACCTGGCCCCGAAAGACGTCCTGGGCTATGTATTGAACAATCATCCTGAACTTCTGTTGGGAGGGTATGCTGCATCCGACCCTGCTGCTAATCGTGGACTGGTAATGTTTTGGGGCCGATATCGACAAATGCATCCATCGCATGCTGTTTATTCGGCACCTGCTGAACGCCTGCGTTGGACAATACCAATCAGCCTCCACGGTGATGGCGGGAGAACACAGAAGAAGCAACTAAGACTTTAGTTAAGACGTGTTTCAAGTAGTCATTTCTTTTCTATGGTTAGCAACTCTTATATAGAGGTCCCCATATCGTGTAGTTGAAACTACATACCATATATATATATATGTATACATCTATTGTATATACATGTATGTAGATAGATCTGTATATAGGACAGACAACTACGCACACCCCAGGCAGCCATTGGAGATATTCAGCCTGGAGCCTGCCTTGGGCTTTTTGCGTGGTGAACCAAAACTGTGCAGGTGTAAACAACCGGTGCTTCAAACTGGGCAAAGCTGCAATGGGAAGGGCCACTCTTATTTGAGCCGATTCCTCATTGCTGCCTATCCAAGCAAGCAATGGCCTCCGGAGCTTTTGGCGGACATTATCAAAGCTTTGTCGACCCAACTTCGTGAGATCTTTGAGACAGGACTTTTGGTCCAAGGCAGGCGGTTTTACATTGGCATCATGGGAATGAAAGGGGACTTCGAGTTCCATTGCACTTCCTTGCGTGATGCTGGCCTGAAACGGTCCTACGAGCATGTTGGGCGAGCAAAAGATCTTCCTGTTTGCATCGAATGTGAAGCGGGGTTTCAAGAGAGCCCTTTTGAGGACTCCAATCCCAATGCTCTCTGGACAAGGACCATTGGCAAGTCTGCGCCGTGGGAATCAGCGCCGAGTTTTGTGCAAATGCCCTTCGACAACTGGAGCTCCTTTCCATCGGGAGTTCTTCAATTCTTTCGCAGAGATCCTTTCCACGTCTTCCGCCTAGGATTCTTGGTTCCAGAAACATCAGTTTCTTTTAAGGTTCTTGTTTACTCGGGCTATGTAGCGACCTGTTTATAGATGTACTTAGTAGATAAAGCTAATTTTTCTAGTGTGTACATACGTGCATACATATATAGGTGTGTGACTTCGAACGGATCTAGAATTCCTATATAGAGGGTCCTCTTGTTTCAGGCGTGGCACGTAATTTTCTGGCGTCTGCAATTCTACTTTTGTGCAACTTCGGTGCCTTCGACCTTCTGGGTGAATCAAAGTCTGTTGAAAACAGGCTCGCAAGAGCCTGGAAACAGTTTCAACTTTTCCTGGAAACAACGTCTTTGCATGTGGGGGGCTTGCGAAGCTTCAGCAAGAAGAAGATGCACTTTGCAAGTGGAGGATCTTTTCCCTGGCTCGGATGCAAAGGCTCGGACACAATCGTGCTTTTCAAGTGGCTGCGGGTCTTGTTGGTGCAACTTCGTGTGCGAGGAACGAGCCCGGTCACGGGCCATGATTTTACCACATGCCGAGCGTGTTACTGGATGGAACTGGCTCTGACTGGAGGCCTACATTTCTCTCAAGGAATCCATGGGCACTCGTTGTGGATGGTGCAAAGCTGCACCGACTCCCTTCGCCAGGCCCTACGTGATTTCTTGCGAGGCTATTCTCAGCTGGCGCAGTTTTGTTTGCTGCGAAAGATCCCTCTGTTTGGGTTAACACCCAAATATCACGCCCTCGCGCATTTCAAACATGATTTGGAAAAGGCGCTGCAAGGAAATCTGGCAGCAACTTTGAACCCAGCGACCTGGGACTGCAGTATGTCGGAGGACTTTATAGGCCGAGTGTCACGACAATCTCGACGGATCGGATACAAGAGAAACTTATTCGAGAAACACGTCTTACAGCATTATCTTCTCAAATTTGGTTTCGTGCTGGGCCGCTGGAAACAAGAAATACCACAGCCCTCGGGTGCTAGAACTGGGCGCAAACAGCGAGCTCGAGGCAAGCGTTGAGCGGTGTTGCAACATTGTTGCAAAGATGGCAAGTGATGTGAGTGATCGTTTGCTTTGCCTGAGCGGCTGAAAGAGTGTGTGGTCAGTATGTTCAACTTTATATGCAAGCCCCTACTTCGTAAATGATTACAGCCTGAACCCTTCCATAATTGAAACACCTGCAAAGCCCGGTCCTCGGCATTCTTCGCGAAGCTTCGACGAGGTGCTCCATGGGGCAAGGGTATATATACAGTAGAAGCCAGACAGTTGTAACATCACTATCCTCACGACCCTATAAGGTAAACTATATAAGGGATCCTAGCACTAATCCTCCTAAAGCCATGTTCCAACTTTCTGGCTTCTACTGTATATATATATATATATATGTATGTAGGGTTTATAGGGCCTATAGGGTTTATAGGGTTTCGATCCGGGATTCTAAAGTTGTGACAAAGTCTTGTGGCCTTTTCATGAAGATTCATCTAGCGCTAGTTTCTGCCGGCGTTCTGAAGTTCTATACATGCTCGACGTACAAGGGAGTGCACATGTATTTCAACCTGCTTGAACACAGGGTAAGGTTTCCCAATCAGACCCAAGTAGTGAAATCCTTCATCCCTGTACAAAACCCAAAATCCCAAAGGCAATTCTATCCTTTGCAGGCGTTTCTATACCCCCGATGACTGAAACAACCACTGCAAAACAGCCAGGCGGATTTAATGACACCCCAGAGGTTCCAGGTAAATCCTAAATCCTAAATCCTAAATCCTAAACCCTAAATCCTAAATCCTAAATCCTAAATCTAGGTTTTAGAGCTGGTTGTCCTTTTCCGAAAAGGACAAGCGCGACTAAATGTAGAAAATCTAGTATTTAAGAGCTAGTTGTCCTTTTCCGAAAAGGACAAGCGCGACTAAATGTTGGAAATCTAGGATTTAGAGCTGGTTGTCCTTTTCCGAAAAAGACAAGCGCGACTAAATGTTGAAAATCTAGGATTTAGAGCTGGTTGTCCTTTTCCGAAAAGGACAAGCGCGACTAAATGACCCAAAACACCCCCGCCAGAGCAAATGGATCACGGTTTGGGGTTATAACTTAAGCTACGCTAGAGGTGGTCCCGATACAGCGGTCCCTCATTTCGAAGACTTCCCGTTGGGGTTTGCCATGGGCTTTACACCGTTGACCTGTGCAGGTCAAACCGGGGAGGCTTTACCCTCCCCTCTCCGCGTCCCGCTCTTTTCGTAGGGGCGCTCGGGCTGTTAGGCCCTCGGCCAGAGCGCTCGGGGCCTGTCGTTCGACGGTTTCGGCCCCTCGCTTAGTTTAGGGTTTATTGAGCTTGCTTCGTGTGCGGGGTGCCTTTTTGAGAATCCTAAACTGGGGGGTTTTTTTTGGGTTTTCTTGAATTTTTTTGGGTTTTCTTGAATTTTTTTGCCTTTTTTTATATTTTTTTTAGTTTTTTTTAGTTTTGTGGTATCCGGGTCCTTAATTTTGGGCTCCGGGTCCTCAATTTTAGGTCCGGTCTTGGTGTGGTCCTTAATTTTAAGCTCCGGGTCCTTAATTTGCGGCTCCGGGTCCTCAATTGTAAGTTTTGGTCCAGGGGGTTTGCTAAACCCTAGGGTTTGCTAAACCCTGAATTAGGGTTTAATAAACCCTAATTGGGGGTTTGCTAAACCCTAAATTAATACTAAACCCTAGGTTAATTAACCCTGAATGGGGGCTTGCTAAACCCTAGGGTTTGCTAAACCCTACATTAGAGTTAAATAAACCCTGCATGGGGGTTTGCTAAACCCTAGGGTTTGCTAAACCCTGAATTAGGGTTTAATAAACCTTGCATGGGGTTTTGCTAAACCCTAAATTAGGGTTTAATAAACCCTGAATGGGGGTTTGCTAAACCCTAGGGTTTGTTAAACCCTGAATTAGGGTTTAATAACCCCTGAATGGGGTTTGCTAAACTCTAGGATTGCTAAACCCTAAATAAACCCTAGGGTTTGCTAAACCTTAAATTAAGAATTAATAAACCTTGAGTGGGGGTTTGCTAAACCCTAGGGTTTGCTAAACCCTAAATGAATGGGGTTTGCTAAACTCTAGGGTTGCTAAACCCTAAATAAACCCTAGGGTTTGCTAAACCTTAAATTAAGAATTAATAAACCTTGAGTGGGGGTTTGCTAAGCCCTAGGGTTTGCTAAACCCTAAATTAGTTAATAAACCCTGAATGGGTGTTTGATAAACCCTAGGGTTTGCTAAACCCTAAATTAGGGTTTAATAAACCTTGAATGGGGGTTTGCTAAACCATAGGGTTTGGAAAACCCTGTTAATGAACCTTGAATGGGGGTTTGCTAAACTGAAAGCCACATTTCCTGGATTTTGGGGTTGGCGTTTTTGGTGACAAATTCTGTTCATAGAATAACGTTTTTATTGGGCCGGAGGGCCGATCTCGAGGTCCCCTCCATTCTGGGCCTAAAATACAAACGGAACTGGTGCAGATTCGGGCCTAAACCATAAAATAATTAAAGCCAAATTTCCTGGATTTTGGGGTGGGCGTTTTGGGTAGCAAATTCTGTTAATAGAATAGCGTTTTTATTCGGCCGGAGGGCCGATCTCGAGGCCCCCCCCATTCTGGGCTTAAAATATAAACGGAACTGGTGCAGATCCGGGCTTAAATCATAAACGTTTAAGGTTTAGCGTTTAAAGCCAAATTTCTTGGATTTTGGGGTGTGCGTTTTGGGTGACAAATTCTGTTCATAGAATAGCGTTTTAATTAGGCCGGAATGCCGATCTCGAGGTACCCCCTATTCTGGGCCTAGAATACAAACCGAACTGGTGCAGATTCGGGCCTAAACCATAAACGTTTAGGGTTATCAGCAATTATTAGCAATTATTAGCAATTATTAGCAATTATTAGCAATTATTAGCAATTATTAACAATTATTAACAATTATTAGCAATTATTAACAATTATTAGCAATTATTAGCAATTATTAGCAATTATTAGCAATTACTAGTAATTATTAGCAATTATTAGCAATTATTAACAATTATCAGCAATTATCAGCAGTTTTTATCAATTAATAGCAAGTATCAGCAATTATTAGCAATTATTAATAATTATCAGCAATTATTAGCAATCATCAGCAATTACTAGTAATTAGTAGCAATTATTAGCAATTATTAGCAATTATCAGCAATTATTAGCAATTATTAGCAATTATCAGCAATTATTAGCAATTATTAGCAATTATCAGCAATTATTAGCAATTAACAGCAATTTTCAGCAAATATTAGCAACTATTAGCAATTATTAGCAATTATTAGCAATTATTAGCAATTACTTGCAATTATTAGCAATCATTAGCAGTTATTAGCAATTATTAGCAATTATTTGCTATAATTAGCAATGTTCAGGATCTATTAGCAATTATTAGCAATTATTAGCAATTATTAGCAATTATTAACAATTATTAGCAATTATTAGCAATTATTAGCAATTATTAGCAATTACTAGCAATTATTAGCAATTATTAGCAATTATTAACAATTATCAGCAATTATCAGCAGTTTTTATCAATTATTAGCAAGTATCAGCAATTATTAGCAATTATTAGCAATTATCAGCAATTATTAGCAATTATTAGCAATTATTAGCAACTATTAGCAGCTATTAGCAATTATTAGCAGTTATTAGCAAGTATCAGCAATTATTAGGAAGTATTAGCAATTATTAGCAATTATTAACAATTATCAGCAATTCTTAGCAATTATCAGCAATTATTAGCCATTATTAGCAATTATTACTTATTAGCAATTATTAGCAATTAATAGCAATTATTAGCAATTATTAGCAATTATTAGCAATTTTTATCAATTATTAGCAATTATTAGCAAGTATCACCAATTATTAGCAATTATCAGCATTTTTTAGCAATTATTAGCAATTTTTTTGCAATTAGTTGCAATTATTAGCAATTATCAGCAGTTTTTATTAATTATTAGCAAGTATCAGCAATTATTAGCCATTATTAGCAATTATCAGCAATTATTAGCACGTATTAGCAATTATTAGCAATTATTTGCAAATTATTAGCAATTATTGGCAATTACTAGCAATTATTAGCAATTATTAGCATTTATTAGCAATTATTAGCAATTATTAGCAATTATAAGCAATTATAAGCAATTATTAACAATTATTAACAATTATTAGCAATTACCAACAATTATTAGCAATAGCAAATAATTAGCAATTATTAGCAATTATTAACAATTATTAACAATTATTAGCAATTACCAACAATTATTAGCAATAGCAAATAATTAGCAATTATTAGCAATTATTAACAATTATTAGCAATTATTAGCAATTATTAGGAAGCATTAGCAATTATTAGCAAGTATTAGCAATTATTAGCAATTATTAGCAATTATTAGCAATTATTAGCAATTATTAGCAATTATCAGCACTTATCAGCAATTATTAGCAAAAATTAGCAATTATTACCAATTATCAGCAATTATTAGCACGTATTAGCAATTATTAGCAATTATTTGCAATTATTAGCAATTATTAGCAATTACTAGCAATTATTAGCAATTATCAGCAATTATCAGCAATTATTAGCAAATATTAGCAATTATCAACAATTATTAGCAATTATCAGCAATTATTAGCAATTATTAGCAATTATAAACATTTATTTGCAATTATTAGCAATTATTAGCAGTTATTAGCAATTATTAGCAGTTATTAGCAATTATTAGCAATTATTAGCAATTATCAGCAATTATTAGCAATTACTAGCAATTCTTAGCAATCGTTAGCAGTTATTAGCAATTATTAGCAATTATTAGCAATTATTAGCAATTATTAGCAATTATTAGCAATTATTAGCAAGTGTCACAAATTATTAGCAATTATCAACAATTATTAGCAATTATTAATAATTATTAGCAATTATTAGCAACTATTAGTAGTTATTAGCAATTATTAGCAATTATTTGCAGTTTTTACCAATTATTAGCAACTATTAGCAATT